TTTGTCCAGCCATCGCTTATGAGAGTAAAATCTTTTAAATTATTGAATTTATTGTTAATAATATTTTTCACTTTAATGTATTCAAAATCTAGTAATGTTTTACTAATTGCATGTCTAGAAGGAATTTTATAGGCTGGACGCATTAATTTTAAAAAATTGATGAAATATTTATTTTCAACTAAATTAAAAGGGCAATTTGACATAAAAATAGCCAATGCCAAAGCACTGTCAAGTTGCGTTTGATTTTGTTCAATTATAGTGTCGAAAAATTTTTAATTTTAGATGTGCCATTATTAAAATTATTGGTATTTTCTTTAAATTTAGAATGGTTTTATTTATGTTTTTTTGGGATATAATTTTATTAGGATTACTGGAATCTGGTAAACATACTACAACATCCTCTTCAGTAGAATTATTATTATCACGATCAACTTCATTAAATTGTAAACTGTTAATTTACCCTTGACATTTTTTGATATGCTGAGACATCTTTGTTGAATTTGGGAAATTATATGTTAATTGACAATATTTGCATATTGATATATATCCTTTCTTGTTATTAGCTCTATCTTTAATAAAATGTTTCCAGATATTGGAAGATTTCCGAGGCATCTATAAAATATTGCAATCTATTAATTTAAATTAAACATCAATAAATCATTATACCAGTTATATAGTATGATTAAAATATATTAAACATCATAAATCATTATATCAGTTATATAGTATGATTAACATATAATGATACTTATAGTGCGCACAAATTGAGCGTTGTAACTCTCCGTTATAAAAGCTAATATGGTAGAGTGCAGCTTGGATTTTTTTACGGCAAACATTAATAAAAAAGCAAACTGGTTAGATTTTTTCTATGCTTTTTTAATTTTGCGCTAAAATTTAAAAATGGATACAAATTGTAGGTATAATTTATTTCATATATTAATTGATATTATATTTAGAATATATTAATTGATATTTATATAATTTTAGAAATGATTATTTATATAATTTTGGAATTTATATAATTTTAGGATACATATTATAATTTTAGAAGGGATGATAAGGTTACTAAAAAATTTTGTACCTTACTGGAAACTCAACAAATGGTCTGGAGCCAGCAGCGTCCAGACCATAAGAATTCTATATTAGTATTAGATGGTTTATTAACCAGTAGTTTAAGGTAAATATATATAAATAATGATAAATTATATTTTTAATAGCTTGGGGATGGAATTTCCATTGCATGATACAACTGTAGCATGCATAAAGAAGAAGTTGCAAAACTTTAAAGACCAAGATAATTGTGCAAGGTTTCAGGAGCTTCTGGCTCTAAACTCTCATACAGATGGTATGATTACATTAAACTCATGGAGCCAACAATAGAGGATAGTTTTAGTCCTAAAGAAATTATACCAAAGGAAGGCAAGTGGGTTAAAATTAAAAGCATTGTTGGATATATTGACTCTTTTGGAAAGGGTGCCTTGAGAGCCAGTAAAATATATATTTATCTATAAATTTAACATTATTATAGAATGTTTCTCTATAAAATATAAATCAAACAAATATTTTTTCAAAAATGAAGTATCTCCATTGTATTATACTTTAATGAAAAATTGAATTGTGGCCTCCAAATTCAACAGATATACCTGCAAATCAAACCTCATTATTTAATGAAATTATATCTATGAAAATTGATTTGTCTTTTTTTATAATTCTATTTATTTATATATAATAAAGTTATATTATTCCATATTCTAGTGTCCACTTTTGAAAAATATAATTAAAATTATTTTATTAAATAAGACATTTAATACTCTTATTATGGTGTATATTTTCATAATTAAAGATTGAAAAATGTAATTAAAATTATTTTGTAAAATATATATAAATAAGCAACTATTCAAAATTTATTTAGCAATTATTAGATAGATTTAATCAAATTATATCATAAATTTGAAATTTGATTAGCAATATTTCTAAATCTATTTATTTTTATATCTAGTGTCTTGAAAAAATATAAAATATGCAAACTATTCAAAATTTATTTCACATTTTTATTAAAATATATAGATTATTATAAATATATAAATTAAGGTAGGATAAACAAAGAAACATTTATATACATATGTTTTGCATCCAAGGCCACAAAAAAATTTGAAAACCCTGATTGAATCATAAATTCTTAGGAAATCTAAATAAACAAATATAATTAAACTTCCTTATTTTACCTTAAGGTAAGAAATAAACTCTTTTTGTTTAAGAAATTATAAAAAAAACTTTAATAAAAAACATAATGCTTTCAATCTAAACAAAGATGCGTTACATTAACAAACATACTGCAAACGCTCAATTTGTGTGCACTATTATATATCAAATCTAAATATATCATTAATTATTAATAATTCTATAATATATCACATTAATATTATGTATGAGAATATAATGTGAAACATTTTATTAAAATTATAGATTTGAAAAATAAAAAAAATAAGTTTAAAGACTCACGAGGAAAATAAAAATTATTTATAAATTAAATTATAAATCATAATTATTGAAATAAAATATTATATTTTATAAAATATAAATCATAATTTTTGCAAATAAATAATATATTTATATTAAGGGAAAATTCGGGAAATTTCCCGGGAAAATATGTAACTTTACATCTCTACATACAAATAATGGCTATCCGTAGATAGAACCACTCTTGAAACAATAATTAAGCCAGTAGATGAAATTATTAATGCCTTTTTTGATAAAATGGAATCTTTATTACCCCATTCTTTTATTTCAAGGCAACAATCGTTGTATTAAAACAATCTAAAATTGAACTTAGACGAAGGCCAATATTTATTTTATGTGATTTTTAAGAAAACTATAGCTTTATACTTCAGGATGAAGTACAAAGTTATCATTGGAAGGGCTCAATCCACTGTTCACCCATTTGTTATATATTATAAAGTTTGCCAATATTTGTTGCTTATATGTAATGATATACGAATCTTTGCATCACCATACAATAGCAGTACATTATTTCCAAAAAACATTGATAAATTTTTTAATTAATAAAATTTATATGCCAAGTAAAATATTTTATTTTCCCGATGGCTCCGCTGCACAGTATAAAAATCGTAAAAATTTTATTAATATTTGACATCATGAGATGGATTTTTGGGGAAATAGGCGAAATGGCATTTTTCTGCTACAGCACATGGGAAAAGTGTATGTGATGAGATTGGTGGCACTGTTAAAAGATTAGTCGCTAGTACTAGTTTACAAAGGCCTTACTCAAAGCAAATAACCACATCATATGAATTGTATGAGTTCGCTAAAGAAAATATTAATGGCATATATTTTGAATATATGACCAAAAAATTATGATTACGAAGAACTATAGGGAAAGATTTTCAAAAACTAGACTTACACCTAGTGTTGTTAATTGGTTGGTTGTATAAAACCAAGACCCGGGGTTTTGGTCTAAAAATCGACTAAACCAGCTCTGAGCACGAACTCCGAGCACAGACCTGTGGTTGGAATCTGAACCAAGGGTCTGTGCTCCGAGCAGGCCTGAGCACAAAATTGGTTCGTAAATTTTACAACCAAGCAAATTAACAACACTACTTAAACCTTTAACACAGAAAATTCACACCTTGATTCCAACAGGTCTACATCAATTTAAAAGTAAAATGTTTTCCAATTCAATAGAAAGCATTATAGAATATTTATCATATAATGATTTTTTGGAGAAATAACGATACATAACATGTGTTTATGATTCTAATTGGTTAGCCTTTGTTTTGGTGAAAAATCAAAAGCAGGAAGAAATATATATAAAGTTTTTACACCCATCTGGACCTTTTAATTCCTTTACATTTCCAAGTATAGATGACACTCTTTACTTGCCAAAATGTCATATCTTATCATTAGTTTCACCATTAACTGCTAGGCAGTAGTTAAACATTGTCGTCACAAGAAAGTAAACTCGCTACAGAATAATCAGAATCTTTTAAAAGTGAGTTATATATTAGATTTTTAAATTTATATTATATGAATTATTTTTAATATTTAGGGCACCATATATGAAATGCACAAGATTCTAATTCATATATTCAAGAACTATAAACTTCGTTGAATATATTTTATTAATATTCATTAAATATATGTTATATAGGCAAAATATTTTATAATAAATTATAAATAAAGTAATTTAAATTTTTTTTATTGATTGACAATTTCTATAATTGAATGAAAGTCCCATTTAATGTTATTTTCTTACAAGATCAATAATCCTTTAAATTATATCAAATAGTTCAAGAATAACCATTAAAAACTGATTATACAAAGACACCTTCTTTCGGGAAAATATTTATACACTTTTCTAAACATTTTTATCGATTTTGAGAATGAAGATGGCCACATCTCAGACCAATTTTTTATATAAAGGAAAAGTTTACTAATGTCTACTAAATTTTTTTTAAAAATTGAAGGTCGTATTATTTCCAAAAAATTGTTTTTAGTCCTTGCATATTGAATAAAATGAACAGAAATTGGAAAAAAATTAAAATTTTTTTTATCTGAAAGTAGAATCTTTGTACGTAATTTTGATATTAAATTTGTTATTTAAAATTATGTTGTTTTTAAGAAATGCTTAATTGAATGAAGGCAGATACCTCATTTTGTCACTTTGAACCCTAATATCTCCAAAAATATAAATATTACGAGGGTAAAATTTTGGCTATTTCTTAACTACACTAACCTTTCTTTGCTTACCAAATTCTATAAAATTCGAAGGGGGTTGGCCGAATTGTGGTTGATTTGTCATGGAATGACCCTTAAATAATCTTGAACTTTATCTAATCTGAATAATAAATCTTTTTTTTATTCATTTTTATTCAACTCATTTGAATATTACAACACAAAATTAAATCTAATTTTAAGGATATTACAAATGTATAAGAATAATATCATTATCATAAAACAGATATTAAACAAAAAAAATTTACATGTTCTTGTATCTTCAACTCTTGAAACTTTACAAATTTACTGCCCCTTGTTTGTAATGATAATCTACCACCAGATTTATTAGTTTGGCAAATTTCACTAGGGCACATCAACAAGGGAATAAATTGAGATGCACCAACCTTATATGAATACAAATGATATATTTAATTTAATGAATAACTAATTTTATAATAGATTGATAGTTAGATGATTTTTGAATTACATACAAATTCAATAAACAAATCAATTATATAAATTTAATTATTTATATAAGTACAGGTTGATAAGTCTCAGCCCCACATAGATCACAGGTGTGTGTTGCAACTTGGATTAGAGGTTTAACTTCAGTACTTCTCACAACTATGCCAGTAACTGATATAAGTTTACCAATCTGAGTTGCTTTAATTTCCCTCAATGCTTTAATGTTTTCTTTGTTTGAACCACCATATTGATCAAAATAAACTTCACTATAAATTAATTTTAATTAAAAAAAAATTATTTTTATATAATTATTACAATCTTCTTATTAATTCTTGTGGATATTTCTTTTTTAAATCTTCTTCTGACAAAACATTTCCTTCATTGTCAAGCTGATGTCTTTGTTGCAATAAAAGTCTGTGATGTATATACACATCAAGAGTATCTTTGATTTCTGGCTATTAGCATTAAAGTTCACAATATTTTTTAAAAAATAAATACTTCATAGAGTTTGTAAGTAGGAAGTAATTCGGCTATAGATTCTCCAAATAAGTTTACATATCTTTTGGCATTATTAATTATATTGCTACTTAGCTCCTCATCATAGCTCAAAACATCCTCAATGTCAACTTTTACAGCAATCTGCTCTCTATGAGCAATTTTTGTCTATTAAATATATAATCAATAATAATTTGTGTCTATTTTTTTAAGAAGAATAATAATTTGTGTCTATTTTTTTAAGAGGAATAATAATTTGTGTCTATTTTTTTAAGAAAATCTTTAAAAAGAACAAACTAATTGAGTGGCATATTTGAATTGTTTGATTTCTTCATGGTCAATATAAAAATTAGTCAAAAATGACTTTATCTTGTCTAGAATATTTAATTATACAATAAAATAATATTTTTATGCGACCTTTTTCGGCTAAATAATTATTTAAAACCATGATTCCTAAATTGAAAAAAGGTGGGATATTAAATGAATGAATGGGAAATATCACATTTGGCACAACATATTGCTATTTATTTACTAATAACACTTAAATTTTATTGAACCATCTCCACGATTTTTAGTAATCGGCATATCAGGCCATCCTTTTTTAAAATTAAAATATTTTTATATAAGATGCGTAGTCTACCTATGTGAAATCAAACAGCTCCTAGTGGCTATTCCTACATTATTAATTATATCGGCCAGGGTAAAGGAGGTGTAGAGGGGAATATTTTTTATCAGATTAAGTGATAAGTGATAATTACAAGCACCTTCAAATTAGGGGAACGCTACTACAATCTCCCCTGGCAACGCCTACAATGGGTAAATTACATTTAACATCTATCGAACCTATCGGTCTAAATGTTCTGTAGTGTTGTTAAATTGCTTGGTTGATTCAAACCATAATTTTTGGTGTGATTTTTTGTTTATAAAAATTAGCCAGACTAATTCATCCAAATGGGTCGATCTAGTCGACCATATCTATAGACTAATGTTGTCCCGATTTGGGTTTTTTAAAAATGGCCCAATTAACATCTTAGCCAAAATACTATTGTTAGCCTGGAAATTTTAATCATAGATGGCAGAAAGTGGACCTCTATTTGCCAAATGGTGAGACCTATATAATATATTTTGTCTAAAATATTGATCAGGCCGTTTTTAAAAATCGACCCAAATCGGACCGTTTCTACTATAGACCCTTGCACCGACCAGCTTCATACTCCCACCTCACCCTTATTTTACTTTTTTTGCAAATTTATTTACAATAAAAATAAGAAATCAAATATAGCTCTTTCCTTTATTTCTCCTTCATTCTTGGAATGACGAGATTTTATACTTGTATTTCTTTGTATTTAATATTATATTTTACTTAATTAAATAAATAAATTTTACGCTTAATAAACATAATGTATATTTTATTTACAATTCTTGCAATGGAGAGAAAATGAACCTGGCATTTGTTGTCATATTTTATTTATTTTGCCTAATTTATATTAAAAAGAAATAAAATTTTTGTTCTCGTTCGGATTTTCCGATATATTTTTATGAAAATAAATATTGATTGGTATTTTTCGAGAATTACTCAAAATTCTTTTGTTTTATATTTTCTTCGTTTCTTTTGAAAATTTTAGTATTAGTTCCAAGATTATATTTATCGAAAGAAAATTTAATTGGATCATAATTATTAATTTCATGAAATTTTATATGAACTTTTATATTGAACCATTGATGATTTATTGGATTATTAAATTCCCCAAAATAAACTACAAATATTGTTATAAGGGAAAATATATAAATGAATACGCTACATTTTGATAGGTAATTAACTTAAAATAATAAAAATAAGCATAGTGCGCCTTTCAATTATTTTAAGCTTGTCGGGTAATAAGCAGGTTTGATAATAATTATTTCTACTTGTAATTAAAATATTGTGGTTTTATTTAATAAATAATATAAATGTTTTTATGATGTAGTAAATGCGATTTGTTTTTTAATTAATTTTAAATATAATCAAAAAGGTTATGGAAATATGTAGGATAGGGCAGAATGACAGGAGGGACGAAGCCATTAATATAAACCTTAAATTTTCTCAATATAAAAACCTAGTATGAGAAGACGGGTTATATTTATCTATAAAAAGTTGAGCGAAAAAAATAGATAAACAAATTTTGCAAAATATTTAACCGTAGTTATACTCTTTACAATTTAAGAAAAGGTCAGTTTTTTTATTATAAACTTTTAAAAATAAAAATTATGAAGAATGCCCTTCGCTATACGTGTTATAGCGCTTCTTAGCATCTTACTAAAATATAATGTTGCTTTAAATTTTAAATTTTGCCAAACGAGGCTTTCATAATATTATTTTGGTTATAATTTTGATCGAGATATTTTTTTAAATGGATCCGAATTGGTCTACACCACTATAAAATAATTACATTATAATTTTTTATATGACTAATCCTTTTAAAAATTGCATATTTTCGGGTAATACATTTCCAGGGTTAACACTATCCCCAGTCTCTCCTAAAATACGGTATATTGATCTAAAAATGCTGTTACGGCACATAAGATATCTATTTTTTACTATATACTCGTCCTAGTGAAAAATAAAATTTCGCAAAACAAGTCATTATAAGTTCATAAGAATTAAATTAAATTTCAAAGGAATAATTATTATTTTCTGCAAATGTCTCCCCAATTATTCTAATATTTCTAATTATCTATATATATATTTATATTTTTTAAAAAATATAATCATGGTTTATCAAGTTAAAATATTTATTTTGATTTGTTATTTAATTACCTAATGTAACCCTAATAAATCAATGTTTTCATATAAAATAATTTTAAAAATTTCTATTTCATTTTATTCAATAATCAGCGAAGTTTATTTTAAGGATCCGATCCAAAAAATTCTTTGGAGTGTTAAAAGGTACGAAATTTTAATGATTTTTTACATTTTATCACATATTATTAATTATAAGCGAAAATATAATTATTTACCGAAAACCGAGTTCATTTAAATAAAGTATTTTAATATTAAGGACAAGTCCGAGAAAATGTCTGTCCCACCTTTTTGATGATATATGAAATTAAAATCATTAAATATATAAATTCCGATTATTATTTTATTTTTCCGGTAGTATAATATAATATATTCTAAATCTAATTTATTAATACAAGATAATTAATTCAAATTAGATGTTAATTAATAATGAATTATTAGTCCTAGAGGTCAATTTATAAAAAAAGTATTCTAATCTAATTTATTAAATACAAGAAAGTTTATAAAATAGGTGATCAGTCACAACTCGATTTTGAGACTCGAGTTGAGTAAAATATAAATTATACAATATTAGCAATATGTTGAGAGCAAGTTGTAAATTATAAGAAGAGAACAATTTGTAAAAATAAGTAATTTTATCTTCATTTATTAATACAAGATAATTATATAGATGTTAATATTGAACTATTCGTCCTCAAGTTTATAATATGAGTTCATGATTGGAACTCGATTTAGAAACTGATACAATGATATTCCCTATTTATATTGGATATTCTTTTTTAAGAATCAAATAAAATAAGGAAGGGTTCGTTTTTGAATTAAAAATAATTACATTAATATTAACAATTTGTTTATAAAATATTAATAATATGCTATACCATTTTTAAAAAAAATCCTAGAAGGGGTACGCCCTGTGTCCTACTTTTTTAAAAATTTCTGGCGGGACACGCAAGATTTTTAAAAATCTCTCTGAGTGTTTTTATTCTTTTTAAAAAAAATGTTCTTTCATTGATAGAAGTACTAATGGAATGCCAAAATATATAATAATTTTAATATATTATGGTCTAAAATGTGTTCGAAATTATACGATTAGGACCTTCTAAATTTAAAGTAGTAAATAATATTTTATTAAAGTTTATGAATAAAATCTTTAGTTGTTTTCTTAGGCTGAAGCTGCTAGATGTATTACACGATATTATTCTTCGATATTTTATGCAGTAAATCCTATATCAATTTTTTTATTGTTCAAAATATTTTGAAATTTTCAAGTGAAAAGTGTTCATCACACTCTTTAAAATTCTCTTCCATGTTTATCTCTATTGGCGGTATTTTATATTTTAATCTACTAAAAAAAATAAAAATTAGCCCGGGTGGGGTCCTAAAAATTTTATTTCAAATACTTATGGATATAAAATAAATGGATAAGATATAATAAATTTAAAAATTGTCGTATAATTGACTAATATATCGCATTCATTCACTTCTCCGATTTCCTAGGCTAATGATAATGCATATCAAACTATTTTCTAAACAACGACGACGGCCAAAATATAATAAGACATTTATCTACTTGACAGTAAGCTATCGCTCTTTTCGCTATGAAACAGCAGAGCTACGCTAGAACTCTCTCACCCAGGGTTAAGAATGAGTGAGAAGCCCATCCAGAAGTTTTTAGGTAGGCTGCAGTTTCCTGTGCGCGAAATAGGCAAAAATAATTACATAAACGTTCACGAAAAATAAAAAAATGTTAGGTATAAGCCCATGCCTGATCAAATAAAAGTTATGGTTATGGAAAAGTATTGACAAGGTTAAAATTAACTTCTATTATAATATGTATATAGAAGGAAGAAACCTGAAACAAAAATAATAGCTGAAATTACCAATACAAGACGATGGATTATCAATTAATTTTAATACCTCCTTATATCATATTTTCTACTCCAATGTGTATGAACGCCATTTTCGGAAATCCCATATTTCTTTTATAATTTAAGAAATATCCATGATACATTTCCAAAGTTTAGCATAAATATATATGGTTCTTTCTGGAATAATATTCTGGATAGTGATAGTCATTCCATCTTAACTTATTTAAGAATTATGTTTCTATATTAGGAATATGTTTTCTAAAGGAGCCCTGCTCATTTGAATTTATTCTGAACCCATCATGGAAAAGATACCTTCAGTTCTACCTTAAGGAAATATTAAAAACGATTAACATATATTTGAATGAGTCCGATCTAACTACCAGGTTCGCTTCAGGAAAAAAAATGAAGGATTAGAGCCCAGGTCTATCGGATTCGCGATCAACGACGATATTCTTAAACTTCAGTTTTTTTATATATAATAAAAAATAAATGACGTGTTTAAATATTTTATGAAAAAATTATAAAAATAGTATACGCTTGACGTGTATTATCATTAGCCGATTTCCTATATTATTTAAAAATAATTTTATCAAAAAATCTATGTAAATCCGGGCCAAAATTTTTTTTTATTGGCCGTGCTTTTTTTTACATATCCGGTCTGGGCCGAGCAAATGGTACCTCTAATATTTATTATATAAAATTCAAATTAGCGAAGTATCGCGACACTTAGCTACAATATTTTAAAATAATATTACGACAAAAGTAAAACATAAATTTTATGAATTGATATCATTCACAGTTTTATTTGACATATTCCACAGATGTGTGATTATGATGCCAATGAAAATTTTCATGTTAGTATAATAATAAACCCCTTATTACACATCGTATTTTGGAAAAAAAATATTAAAAAATTTAGACAGTAAGCATGTGGTTTTATTTAAAAAAAATGGTACTGACTTCTTACGAAGGCTGTTTCGCAAAATATTTATTGAGCGATCATATAATTGGTCAAATAATTTTTTCTTTATAATAATATTTTTTAAAAAAATTGATGTTTAATGTTAAAATATGAAATTAAAACAAATTTATTATAAATTTGCAATATAACCTTTTCTTCATGGTTAAATTTAATAAATTTATTCGTAAATATTTCATTTTTTTAACAAAAAAAAACACTTAAGGGTTTGTTTAGTTAGTTATTATTTGAATAAAAACGTATTTTGTAAAATAGCTCATCAAGGTATAAAATTGTAAATACTTTTTTAAATGAATGTACAACATAATATAATGATAATATTTTAAACAAACATAACTAAATAAATATAATAAATAAAATTATTTTCTTGATTATTGCGAATTTTTCACAATATAATTTCAACTTTTTTAGTTTATCTTTATCATGTCTATATTTACGAATAAATTGTTATTTAAAAAATATAATCTAATTTCTACATATCTAAAATTTTTGGAACTCTATTCTTTAATTACTATAATTATCAGGATTCAAAAAAGGTAAAATATTTAACATGTTGATTAGTAAGCTTCGGTGAGTACCAGTGACGTCAATAGGGGAGGGGTATTTGAGGGCTCGAGCTCCATTAGAATTTTGGAGCTCCCTCAAAGTTTTTTTTAAAAATACATACCTTAAAGCAAAAAATTTAAAAATTTGGTTTTAAATTTTTAGTATTTTGAGCACCCAAGCCATTAAGCCCTGGCAAACTGAAAAGTCTATGACTCCACTGGTTAGTAGTGACGTTAAATCGCCTAACTTTGGTTTTTCATCTAAGTCCTCAATTGCTTTATGGAATTAAATAACCTTTATTATTAAATTTAGTTTAAAGGAAAAATAATTAACATTTATTTGGTCGCAATGGCAATATATAAGCGTATCCAGGTCTTTCTTATGCGGGGGTGGGGTAGAGCTTTAGGTTACTTTTCTCCTAAATTTTATTTTTATCCAGACCTTTGCTATTACATGTTCTAAAAAAAATTGGTTTTTACCTTTAAAAAAATATATCAGACTAAAAAATTTTTTAAATGGCCGGGTTGGGCCGTATATTTTAAAACCGATTATTTTAAATCGCCATTATTAGCTATAAAAATTTTAAAAAAATGTAGTATATTAATTTTTAAAAAAAAATCAGGGCTGGACTGTGCAAATGGTACATCTGCAGGTCTATGATTTTTATTAACCTAATGATATTTATGAAAACTTAACATTTATAAAAGATAGACTTAGATAATTTATTAATTATTTAGATGAAAATGCAATTTTAAATATAAAATTTAACATGATTAATAAATCATCAGTTAGTTGGTAAATTAAGAATAAAATTTGCGTTTTTTATCATTTTACGGAACATAAATAGTTTATCAAAAGCTCCCTTCAAGTAATTTATTAAACGGCCTAGAAAAAAGACGTGAGAATTTTATTGTAAGTCGATTTTTAAAAACGACCCGATTAAGATTTTAGCCAAAACAATATTATGTAAGCCTAAAGATTTGGCAAATAGGCCCTTAATTTAAATATACAAAATTATTGCTATAAAATTATCTTAACACATAAACATCGTTATAAATTTTATTTTTCATGAAATAGTTCACACTAACCTTCATTAAATGACCTCGGCTGAGTTGATGGACGATAATATCAAATTTGATTCCAAAACATTGGCATTATCATTACAAAAAAGAATATTAACAAAAATGATGTCATCCAACAAACGCGTAATTAAAATGTTCATAGATGATAAAGGAGCCCACCTGTTAGACGCTTTTTATTCTATTTGTAAATCAGCCCTAAATAGCAAGAAAGAGGCTGAAACTTTGATCAAGCGAATAATCAAAACTTCAATTAAAGTGGGAATTCTGGCCAAAAATGACGTATTCGATGAAAAAGAGTTAGAAACGGGCTATAAATTTCAATCAATCTTCAAAACATTTGTATTAACTTTAGTTAGCTTCTCGGAAGTGGAGTACAGTTATGATAGAGATTATTTAATCACCTTGCTAATTGAAACAAAAAGTTTATTAAAATCCCTAGTTAAATGTCATTTAACGCCGAAATCGTTAGAAAGAATAGATTCCATTTATAAACTTTTTATGGACCCAGTGTTTTTGGACAACATTTTTGTCGATAAAAGTAAATGTGAAGTTGACAACACTTTAGTTATCACGGGTGATAGATATATTAATAATGATGACATTTTACACGATGATATCACGATTCGACAAAATATAGATTCGAGGTTGATCACTTTTAACAACTCGCCAAAGACTAAAAAATTTATACAGGCACTGAAATGTGTCGTGGATGACTTTTAAAAAGTCAAAATTTGTATTATTTCTTTTTTTTAAAACCAATTGATCTCAATTAAATTTAATTGATCGCATATTGTATAATGTCTAAACTGTTTCCGTTAAAACTCAATATTAGGACAATCAAATTTTTACTTAAAGATAAATATATTTTGCCCATTTAATTCTATCATATTATAAATACAAATACTTATTGTATATAGACATTGACATAATGGTAAAAAGTTTTTATTCATTTTTTTCTATGTTTTATATTGATAAATAAATAATTTTTCAATAAAATCACCCAATATCATGTACATTTATGAATTAATAAATTTAAAAAAAAATTCTAATATAATATAACGGCGTATTTTATTTTTTTTAATAAAACAATACATATAGTTATATATATAATTGATTTATAAAATATTATTTTTAATCAAATTCTGACATTTTAAGATTCATAAGATGTCTAAATTGTGCATCCTCGCGTTGTGAAAAAGCCGTTTGATTGTTTTGTAAATAAGTTAAAGGATCTAGATCTTTCTCTAAGGGTTTAGTAAATTTGTTTGAATAATAGTAGGAATGTAGAAGGGCGTACGGATGCTATAAAAAAAATCGTTTATTTGAATAAATAAAATTAGGTAATAATTTAAAAAAATAATATTACTTTAATCAAGTAACGCCGTTACTAATAATGACATCATTATCATTAAAAAATATAAATTCACAATTAAAACGTAAAAATATTTAAAAATTAAATTTTTTTAAAAAGATTACTTTAAAAAATGTTGGCTCAACATCACTGTTTTTGATTTCGTTACCGTTATTTGTGATCAATCTTTGAATTTTATTGTATGTTTCGGGCCTAGTCATATATTTGGACACGCCACATTGTTTTAATAAAGAAATAATTGGTGGAGTATCTTTGAATTCAATTTTAATTTTCAAATAAAAATCATAAGTTTAGGTGATTTCATTTTTAGATATCATTGGTGTGCCATAAATTAAAGTCCATGCTTTTGCATAATTCACTTCATTTTAATTTCGCTCAGAGTCGGGCCTTAGATTGCTAAAAATTAAATGCACATAATGCCGAAATGCCTTTGCATATTCCTAGAGAGGCCATTGGTTATTCGTTTTATTTCAATTTCCTAATGTATCTCTTTCTTTCAAATGAGCAGAGCTTAACTACAAAACTTGAAACTATTTGCAAAATCCATCAAAGTTGTGAACGCACTTCTCACTCCTCCCAATCAATTTAAAAAAAGATTATCTCGATACTTGGTTCATCGTCATCCATGTCACTATCGTTGCTAGAACCAGAGCTTATGTTCTCAAAATCGTTTGTCCTAGATTCACTATTAATCGTTGTATCCTTTTTCATTATATCGTCAACACCTTTAAAATGATTTTAAAAGATTTCAAGAGCAATTAAAAATAGATTATTTGGCCACGAAGATTATTTTCAATTGATTGGGAAGGAAAAATAAAAATTTCAATTAAAAAAAATCTTTTTTAACAATTCAAGTGATGTACCGACATAAATCTGTATAGGCCGATTACGATAATGTAACTACCTGTGCATCTTTAATATTCCCTTTTTTCAATAGTTACTAGAATATCAAACCAAATAGTAAATAAATTTCAAAACAGCATTTTTGAATAATTTAAACCAAAAATTAACAATCTCGAAAGTAAAAAATCGATTGCAATTTTTGCTATACCTAGTCTTACTTACTATTAAAAAAATATTAAGTCAAAGACTATGATTTTCCAAATCTTAAAAAATAAATTATTTACCCATCATTTCTCGATTTTCGAGCAAAGGTAAAGTATTAAAAATATTTTTTTCAATGGTTCCATTTGTTGTGTCAATTTTATCGAAGATAATTTTAATATCTGATTCGCTGGGGCCCGCATTTTCAGTTTCGTTAGGACTAGCATTTTTTAGCTCAGTATCGTTATTCGAATTTTTCCCGATTCGAATATTTTTCGTCTCGGGACTCGACTTCTTATTTTTTTCAGCAGTGTTTTCGGATTTACTTTTTAAGCGCGAGTCATCCGAATATTTTTGTGTTTTTATTTTGATAGGCGACTCCAAATTATCGGAAGTTTTGAGGAGGGATATCGAGGTGCTCTTGGTGGCAGAACCTTAAAATTTGTAATTGAAAAAAAGAAGAAAGTTAGGTTATTGGTTGGATTTGAGTTATCTCATCATTTCACATATTATGTAATAAGGATCTAACTTTTAGAATCAGAATCGGAGCCTTCGTTCGAGTGGGCCTTACTTTTATTTGATATATCAATGCCCATAGGCGACAAGCCTTCGCTTATGTTAACCGAGCGGGTAGGTGAACTTGATTTCGAACTTCCTTTTTTAGCGCCATTTTTATTCATTTTTGAGACATTTTTGGCGATTTTTAATGTATCTTTTTTTAAAGATTCAGGATTTTTGGTTGATTTAATCGTTAAAGATTTTGTGGATTTGGTTGAGTCGTCACTGGTATGATCGTGGTCCGAACCATCATCAGAAGATTTCGATGTTGAGCTAGAGTCATCTGAGCTACTAGACTCGTCGCTTGTGGTCGAACCAGATTTGGAATCATTGGAAGCCGATTCGTGAGTTGGTAAAGGGGAGTGTGGGGACGTGCTACTTAGACATTCGCCTTCTTCCATTTCTTCTCCATACGTAAAAAGGTAATTTATTATATAGTATAAGAGATACATAGTGAATTCAGTGATTTTTATTCCGTGTATTAATTTTTTTTTATAAAAGATTAAATTAATCCGTTTTTATTTACATTTACCATGGGAAAAGCGTATATTTATATCTCTCAAAATTTAATTTTAAAATATTTAGCAGAAATTTTGCTAACAGAAACTTAATCGGAACCGATTTTTTGAGAGAAATCCAAGCGTACCCCTTGTACAGGTTAGGCTGGAAAAGGGAAATTGTATGTATTAAAAGCGATTCTCGAATTTATTAAATGGAGAGAATTTTAAAAAAATTAAAATAGTTAAACGATGAATAACAAAGGATAAAACATTTTTAACTAGGTACCTTGAGGTGAAATTGTGATAGAAGTGTATATTTTGTAAATCTTAATGTTCCTATGAAAAAAAATGATTAATTCAGTAGTTCAACTTATTGATACTCTAAACAACTTCCACTTATAGAAGTTCTCATTCAAACATATATACAAATGTAGGGCAATTAATCATTATTGAAGATTTTAATGTAGTATACCAATTAGATAAGGTAATTAGAAGTTATTAAATATTAAAAAAACCAGAATCTGGATGAGAGCGAGAGTGAGAACTCTCAATTTTTTCTTCCACTAAATTTTGTATAATCTCCGTTTTGATTTTACGTATGTGACGTTTCCTGGTTTTGGCTTTAAAAAAAATAAACGTTGTAAAAATATATTTAAAAAAAAATTTTCCAGAAATATATTTATTTTTCAAATTCAAATATATAGAATATTTCCTGTATAATTAATGAGATTATGGGAGAAAGTATAACTGATTAAAGAGTCAACTAAATGAATCGTGCACTTCTAGTTCTAGTTACGCATTTTCGAGTAAATTTATGGGTTTGATTTTCATAAAATGAGAAGAAAAAAATAAATGGGTAAAAGGTAGATCAATTTTATGAGCTTCTACCTTCAGGGTATAATACAGTAGTTAGAATTTTTTTATTTAATTTGACAACTTATAGATGATCGACGATGATATGTTGTTAGATTATAAGTTCAGCAAGACTTATCGAAATAAGATATAATTTAAAAAAAACATAAAATGAAGAACACTTGAGAGCTATTTTAATAGGTAGGCTTTCCTTAAAAAGATACTGATAGTTAATCATTCTCAATGAGAAAGCGTAAACTTTACCTAGTATCATTGTCATAATTACATGAATCGCAGAAGACCTCTATATAACCCCTCCAAAAAAGATGCCCATATTTTCCAAAATCATTTCAAATGTAGAAAATATGCGATTAATTTCCCAATAATTTTAAAGGAGTATAATAGTAATTTAATTTAAAATAAACTAGTTTGAGCGTCTTCGCGTGGTATTTCCTTGACACTGCTCTCCTCCTCGCTAGTTTGATCGTTGTTAAAAAATGTTTCTTTCATTTAAAAAAAAATGATACGTATACTTAAATATTTTTTAAAATTTCTCTAAATAAGATTATAATCATTTTAAACAATTTTAAAGATTTATCCACATAAGATTATAATCATTTTAAAATTAATATTATAATAATTTTTTCAAACAATTTAAAAAAAAAATAGTTCAAAGTTATTGAAATAAATTTTTTTGTAACAGGGACCCCTAATGATTATAATAAATCCAAATTCAAGCCTTTTTAAAATATTCAGGGATTTTATTTTTCTTGAATAATTTAATATAAAAAACGGATTCCATATTAATTATATCAAAATAAAATTGTAAAATGTTTCCATTTTTTTCTATGGTTTTGACAAAATTGAGAGCCTCCTTTCCAAACATCGTTAAGGTGAGTGACTATTGGTATAAAGACTGTGTTTGTGAGGCCAGCGTATATATTTATTAAGGGCTTCTGCCTTTCGGTGACAGAAAATCAGTCTTACCTAAGAAAATGTAATCCTAAGTGGAAGACCTTTCGTCCAGGGGATGAGGAATATACTATCCGGGCGTAGGCCTTTTAATTTGAAAGACTCACTGATTCAAGAGTGGATGACTTTTTTAAGGGCAGCTAGGAGAATGTCAATAGATTTATTGCTGGGCTGATGTCCGCGGGAGAACTTGCAGTGCAAGAAATGTTATGCATTTGATTCGATGGACTAGACTTAATCTACACAAGTGGAGGGTAAAACTGTATTACAGCTAAACGAAGAGCTATGGATTTGCTTAGGTGTTCACTAGTTATGAGTAGTGTTGTTAAATGGCTAGATTTGAGCCGATTTTTAAAAACGGCTAACTCAATATTGTAGTCAGAAAATATTGACTATACACCTTGAAATTTCGCTAATGGATGTCCAAAACTTTGGGCAATCTATGACTAAAATCTTTTGGATAAAATATTTAGTTAGCCGTTTTTAAAAATCGGCTCAATCGAGCCGTTTAACAACAATAATCATGAGGAGGCCGAGATTGGAATTAAGGATGGCTTCCAACCATTCACAGTCAGAGTTTGCATTTAATATTATGTTATTTGGATTTTCCACAAAGGGTCAGTTCGAAATGAAATATTCAACGGAAAAGGCGATCAAAGGAGCATCCCAATCTTTTTGTATGCTAGAGATTGGTCGTCAGGAGAGATTCAATTTCTGTCCCAAAAGACAAGGGCCGGAGATAGGACATATAGGAGTGGATACAATACTAAGGATAACTTGAGCTGCTAGATGGGTAAAAGCTGAAGAGAAAGCGGAGATCGGATACCGATGCCACCTGACTTTCTATAGAATATGGCGTATAGTCAAGATGAATGAAAATTTTATGTTCAATAAATTTTCGAGGAGACCGTTGATTTGAGTTCCAAGAGAAACTAACAAATCGCTGCATTTGTAGATCGGTGTAGATCTCAGGGGGTAAAGCATTTTGGGAATATTAAAATAGTCTAATAATTTCGCAAAATGCATATGTAATGAATTTTGCGAAAAAAAGGATTGCTTTTACTATATTTTTGCTAATAAAAATTTTTAGAATTCACGGAATTAATTGCTAGCAAAGACATAGGTTAATAATTTTTTTTATCTCCATTGTTAAAAATTTTATATCACTTAAAATATGTATGTATGTAATATAATATAATATAATATATTTCTAAGACTATTTGTTTTCATTTTTCAAACATATTATTTAGATGATTAAACCAATATGACCGAAGGAATAAATAAGTAAAGATAGGCATCTAATCAACAAGGTGAAATATGTGGGATATGCAATGTCACACCAGTTGTTAGATTGCATATCTAAAATCCAGACACACCAATAACACTCTACATAGCGTCAATATTTAATTTTTTTATTTATAAATTATTAGGACATGGTTCCTGGCCAAAAGATCTTAAATATAAAAATAAACCAGCCTAACATAAAATATTTTCAATTTGTTATATAATCATTTATTTAAATGATTTTGTCAAGTAAAAATAATAAAAATTCTAAAGTAAACTTATATGAAGGAATAATCTAATTATCAAGAAAACTTATTGAACTATCAAGGTTCCCGGTTTCACTGAATTATTCTTCTAATATCATTGTGGTAGCTAAGGTAACCTTGATTAATATACCAATAGAGTTGGGAATCCAATTCTATAAACTCGCTATAAAATCATAGGGCGAAATGAAGAGACAATTTATGCGCCAACATAAAACAATAAAAGAAGTTTTTATGCGTATCTCATCGTAGAAAAGGGGAGACGCAAAATAAATCACTAAAAAAACGCGATATTGACTACTTGGAATAGGTATATCCCTTGTAAAACTTAAATTATTAAAGGAAGTTTAACAAAATTAGTTAGCATATTCCTTTATTCTTCGCTTCGAACCCAAAAAATTGACTTAAACATAAGGAGATAAGCCTAGACTAAATATGGTGAATTTTTAGACTATTGTCAACATAGTGAGTAATCACGCTATCTATGACTTAATATATCACCACTATAGTTAGGTAATGGCTAAATGTCGCTAATTCAGCTCAATCTTCAGGCTCTTGCTGGAATAAATCCGTTAACATTAAAGCATTTTAATTTATATTAGTTTCTTCCAAATTTAAGCGGCTATCTTTTTATGTAAAACCTAGTAATAGTTTTCTGCCAAAAACTTAGCTTAAACGGCTATAGATATAGTAATTACCCAACTACAATCACCTCAAGCCATTTCCATATAAGAAGGTTTGTATTTTTTAAAGAATCGAACTTGAATAGTATAATTTGAAATATGGATATCCATAATTATTTTTTAAATATTCATATTTCAAAAACTTGTTTCATAGTGAACATCATAACTTTTAACAATTTTAAAAGTATTGTTATAGATGATATATTATAAATCCCGTAATTTCATATTCCCACAACACAAAAAACAGCCTAATTAAAAAAAAGATATTTTAAAATAAAAACCTGCGATAGATCTTGTATTTGTTTGCACGTTATTATTGCTCCTTTTTTTGATTCGATCTTTAGTCTGTTTAATCGTATTCTCTTCTAAAATGTGTGATTAAAAAAATATTATGAAGACTATCTGTAAATATACATAGTTAATGAAATAAAGATTATGGATATATCATCTAGAGGTCTGCAAAGTGATTTTTTCGCGGTCCGAACCTGACCCGAGAATATATTTTTAAAACCAACCTGACTGAGCCCGACTTAAAATTTTTTTATAATTTGAGTTTAAATATTATAACATTTAAAAAACAATTAAAAAATATGTGTATTTATTCACATATTGTCACCATAAATAAAAGTATATTTAACCCCCATAATCTAATTAATATTCATATAAAGTTGCATTTTATTTAATTTGTATACATATAAAAAGTAAAGCTAAAATACAATCGAATAAAAATTATTGTGATAATATGAAAATAATTTGGATGATTAATGTTGAAAAAAGATGATATAATTGTATATATAGATAAAAATTTTTTAAAAAATATAATAATTAAGATATTAAAGAGACATATCAATATCATTTATTTTGATTGACATTTTTATGAAACTGTTAATGTGGTCGATATTCTGTTTATCATATTCTTAAGACATTTTGATTTAACGCGATTTTTTATTATTTAAAATTAACTTTTACCTTAAAGAATCTTTCTTTATCGATTAATGTATATAAATATATTTTAGTTTTATGCCTCACAATGCTTTAAATTATTTTAGTTTTGTTTATATTTTATCGCGTTACAATATAAAACACGTTTTTGCGTAACTTAAAATGACTAATCATTTACTTATTCATTAATTAAAACATATTTAAATTGTTGATGGAAAAAAGATATAAAGAGACAATGATATATGACTTTAAGTAGTGTTAAATATTTCATAGGTTCTGCCTCAACCCATTTTGTGAAATAATCAGAGGTAACTGCAATACAAGTGTGCAAAGATCGATGTCTATTTGAGCCCATGGAAGAGGTGGTACATATATTGGATTTAAAGTAGAAAATATTTTAGAAAATCTTGTATTGGCCTTCTGACATCTATCACATGATTTTATAAAATCAATAGTGTCTATATATATATTGTAGTTTTATATTTTTGCTATATGACATGTCTTAATATTTTTTTTTTGTGGTTCATATTATTTTCTTAATGGATATAACGAAAATCTATGTATGTAATTTTAATAGTGATAATTATAAATTATTTTTTTTATCCCTATTCGTATTCTTTTATTTTGTTTGTGGTCAATTATTTTTTTTATAATTGAACATTAAGAAAAAGAAAATAATTGTAAAGGATTGTTGAATCCAAATTTATATGTATTATAAAACAAATAAAATATATTAATTATTATAATCCGCATGTCGAAAGAAGACAATTCAAGAGTTAAAAGTCGATAATGTTCAAAGATAAGATTCGATAAATGACGAGGAAATAATCAATGTCCTTAAAGAACGATAATTATATGGTATCTAGGCTTTTGAAGGGTGGGCGTGTTGCAAATGTTGAATTAAAGAGAAAAATAAAAATGTTTATTTATTTTCAAGATATGTCAATCAGATTATTATTCTTTTAAAATAATATGTTTATGTTTTTATTGTAAAAGTAATATTTTATTCAGTGTGTGATTTTTTATATGAAATGAGTCGGAGATTTTATTAAATGAAATATTTATGAATTGGAATTTGAATTATTAGATATCGATTTTTATGATTATACTATTGGAATTTATTAGATGAAAAATAAAGTGTATGTAATATATTGATATATGTAGAAGAAATTTTGAAATAAAGAAATTGAAATTTAATAAATTCAATAATATGAGAAATATTTTAATGGTGACGACCGACCAAGATTCGTGAACACTTATTAGGGAAAAAATAAGTAGAGAAAAATATAAAAATTGAGATATTTAGAGAAAAAATAAAACAAGAGTGTTTTATAAAAATAAATTTCAGACGTTAATCAAGAAAAAAATTTTCTAGGACCGGGTTCCTCAAAATAATAGTAATTCCGGATATATATATAAAGGTAAGAAATTTTTTTTTTGTATTATAAATTACACAACGCAATAGTAAGATTTTTGGATTAAAATTAGAAATATATGAGATAAAATTTTGGTAATTAATGAAAAAATGGCTTTTTATTTTAATGATAATTATAATAAAATTTTTAATTCAAACTTTAATAAAGTGGATGTGACCAATAATGTAATTACTGCAGTAATTTTTTTTGTGTTTTATGTAATCTTAATTATAATGAAACAAGTAATAAGGAAAATAAAAAGAAGATCTCTTAAAAATAGAGAAAATGATATAAAAAATACAAATACTGAAAATTTAATTCCTAAAATTTTGGTGAAATCTCCAGATATTTCTGAAGATATCAAAAATAGTTTACATATAATTTTGTTAGAATTAAAAAATTTAAATGGTAAAAAAAATGTTATAATGGAAGAAAAATCCGAGAAAATATTAGATACGGGTGAAGTATTTAATTTTCCTCAAAATATTGACATATCGGAGGATATAAATAAAAAATTAAATTCAATTGTGATAGAATTTAAAAAGCAAATTTCTGAGGTTTTAATCGAGAAACCAGTAGAAATTTTGAAAAATAATAACAATAATACTTTGAGACAAAGTACAGAGGAATCTCTAATTTTACGTGAAATTAGAGAAATGAGAAAAAATATGAAAAATTTGTCCAGAGATGTTTCCAACTTAAAAATTAAAAATAATAATAATGTGATTGAAAGTTGTGAACTTTGTGGAAGAAAAGGACATATCGGTAAATATTGTTATTCAAGAGACCGAAATTCTAATGAGAATGTGACTGCAAAACCAAGTGAAAAAAATGACATAGTGTGTCATAGATGTGATTTTGTAGGACATATAAAAAGAAATTGCATGGTGAAAGAAGCCAATTTCAAAAGTGGATTTCCGCAACGAACATCGGTAGTGATAAATCCAGTGGTTCGAAGTATACAAAATCCTCAGATTATAAATGTGGATGAAATTAAAACTTATAATAGAGACCATGATAGAATGTGTTTCAAATGTGAAGAAATGGGACACATTGGCATACATTGTATCCAAAGTGTGAGTGGGTCACAGTGACTATATGATTTGAAAGAGAATCATATAAAAATAGAAAAATCATATTTAGAGAATAATAAATATTTTGATATATATAGTTTTATTAAAAATTTTGTGGATATATATAATATAATAGATAATCATCATGGGAATGATGATTATACATTGAAATTTAACTCGAATAAAAAGAGTTGTAATGTAGGAAATTTTTATTGTCATTTTGATGAAATAAAAAAATTTAAATTAACCAATAATCTGAATAAAAAGGATTATTGTAATCAAACAAGTGGGAAATATCATTGGGAGATTTTTAATAAAAATATAAATGAGATTCAGAGACATTTAAATTCTGAGATGAATTTAGGTATGAATATTAATTGTATTGAAAAAGAGATTAAAATAAATACCATTCAACCGATTAAATTGCCTAAAAATTTAATAACTGAGGGATCAAAGGAACAAAGTTCATGTCCTCATATTAATTTAAAATTTGGTGGACAATAGTTGAAATGTTATTTCATACCGGGGCAAGTATTTCAATCATGTCTTGTGAAAATTTTTATAAATATTGGCCTAATGATATTATTTAAAAAAATAAATATGTGTATAAAACAATTTGATGGATCTGAAATCAAATTTTGGGTAGAACTCAGTGGGATGTTCTTTTCCATGATATTCGTATAATTTTGGATTTATGGATAGTGGAAAAAAATGTTGAAACAATTATGGGTTGGGATTGGATTAGCAAACTTGGACCTAGAAATAATTATTGGGATTTATTTATCATTGATAAAGAATTGGCTAGAGATAATGCCGAAAGAAAAATAATGGCTAATGAAGTCAGGGAAAAGCTTAAAGAAAGGGAAATGAATAAATTAACGAGTGAAGCGAAAGAATCTATCGTTAATAAGAATATTTGTGAATATCCTGCAAAATCCATGATATATTCAAATCAATATAAGATCAATAATGAAATTGATAATGATAAAAAAATTAATAATGAAATTAATGAATTAAATAGAGTTAAAAATGCTATACCTATTTTAGTGGAAAAATATGGTATAATTTTTGAAGACACTTTGGGATGGTTAAATGATTATCAAGTGGATTTGAAATTAAAAGAAGGATTTTCACCTATTTTCTTAGCGTGTCGTAGAGTTCCTTTTAAATGGAAAAAGGAAATCAACGAAGAATTAGATAAATGGGTTAATGATGGTATTATTATTCCTGTGGAATATAGTGAATGGGCTACACCATTAGTACCTGTTAAAAAATCTAATGGAAAACTTAGATTATGTGCAGATTTTCGAGTAACACTTAACAAATGGGTTGTGGAAGTGAAATATCCATTACCTCGAATTGAAGAAATTTTGGCAAATTTAAAGGGAGCTAAATAATTTTCAAAAGTTGATTTTTCATCAGCATATTTACAATTGCATTTGAAAGAAGAAATTCGTAAATTGTTGACAATAACAACGCCTAAAGGATTATTTTCATTTTGTAGATTACCTTTTGGATTAAGTGTATCTGCACCGATTTTTCAGAAAACAATGGCATCAGTTTTCCAGGGTTTGGAAGGCGTATTTTATTATATGGATGATGTGTTGATAACTGGAGTGACGGCAGAACAACATAATCAACGTCTTGAAGAGGTTTTCAAGAGAATTCAAGATAAAGGTTTAAAAGCCAGTAAAGAGAAAAGTATTCTTGGTGTCATCGAAATAGTGTATTTAGGTCATCAAATTAATGGAATTGAAGTGAAGCCGCTTGATAAAAATTTAAAAAATATTTTAAACATAATCAGTCTAGTAATAAAGCTGAAGTGCATCATAGATTTGTGGATAATTTTGCAAAAATAGCAGCTCCATTATATGACTTATTAAAAAAAGGCGTTAATTTTGAATGGAAAATTGAACAAAGAAATGCTTTTAAAAA